AGTAGTAGTAGTAGTAGTAGTAGTAGTAGTAGTAGTAGTAGTAGTACTAGTACTAGTACTAGTACTAGTACTAGTACTAGTACTAGTACTAGTACTAGTTTTAGTAGTATTGTAGTTGTAGTCGTAGTAGTCGTAGTCGTCGTCGTCGTCGTCGTGATGATGGTGGTGGCGACGGCGGTGGTGGCGGTCGTGGTCGGTGTCGTTATCGGAGTAGTTGTCGTCATGGACTTGAGACATATGCATGGGGCCCTTGCCAACTTTTCAACTGTGCAGCGTGTGCGGGAGCCAATGTGAATGTTTACATGTTGTTTCACTCACCTGGGGCGTTATCGTGCAATGGGGCTCCCTTCAGCTGGGCCAAGCCAGGGACAGCATCCGCTGATTGTTTCGGGACATGCGAGTCAGAGTGGCACTGTCAGTATCGGACCCATGTAGGCTACATGTGTTAAACTGTATGCATACATGCCTCTGTGGTATGTTATGTTATGTTATGTTATGTTATGTTATGTTATGTTATGTTATGTTATGTTATGTTATGTTATGTTATGTTATGTTATGTTACACATAGAAGCAAACAAAAAATATAAACTATGAATGATGCATTAACTATACATGTGTACAGAGGTACACGGGGTAGAGGTAGGAAAACAGCTGAATGCAGGGGAAAGTAAACAACAACTAACAACCCAACCAGCAACTATCAAAAGGGGTTGAACAAAATCCGCATGTATGCATGCGATCTGAAGGCTTATATGCTGACGAATATATCTGCGCATGCATACACAGGTTGATACGGGTGGTAGATGTATGAGTATATGTATGTATGTCTGTATGTATGTCTGTATGTATGTCACTGTAGGTATGTAGGTCGAGTTAGGTCGGTAATTACGCGGGTTTGTGAGTATGTGTGTGTGTGTGTGCGCATGTCAGCCATGCGTGCTAGCGTCAGTGGGGCATCTTCAGCACCGTCCGGAAAGACCTCAGCGCTGGGGCATGTCCAGTCTGGTTTCAATGAGCTCAGGGTTTGGGGCTCCTGGGGTTTGGTTTTGGGATGTGAGGTCTAGGATTTGCAGATTCGGAGGAACGTCCCCAAGAGCACGGGCCAGCCAACACTTCCAACATGCCAGTGTATTAGTGTAGCTGCAAATAGCTGCAACATGCCCCAAACATGCCTAACCTCTAGATCTAAATCGCCCATCACCTCGGAATCTAAGCGGCCTCCACCCAAAGGAGGAAACCTTGGAGATCCGCAGAAGTCTGGATCTCGAAGTCACAGCGCCGCTGTTGCTTCAGCATCTCATCCTGATCGGCTCACCGTGAGGTGTACATCTACACTGCAGCAACATCCTCCATAAACTGGGAAGATGAATGTTGGTATGTATGTACGTAGGTAGGTAGCTGGGTAGGCAGGTAGGTAAGTAAACCCTAAACCCTGGTAGGTAGGTAGTGTAAGTAGGTAGGTAGGCATACATACATGCATAGCGAACGACTGAATGACTGAGTGAAGGGTGCTGACTCATGCACTCGGCCTGCCACTCGTTGAAGTCATAAGCCTCCAAGGTCTCCGCCTCTGAAAGGGCCAGCCTCCATGGTTCATCCAACAGCTACGGAGGTTTGGGGTTCAGGGTTTAGGGTTCAGAGTTCAGGGTTCAGGGTTTAGGGTTCAGGGTTTAGGGTCGCTTTTGACTGCTGGTGGTTGCTGCAAAGCTGAGTGAGAAGGTTGGAGGCAGATGACTCCAGGATGATTACACGCTTTCCTGAGGAGGGAGACGGAACCGCAGGAACGGAGGGTTCAGGCAAGAACCTGCCCAGGGCTCGACCCCCAAACGCTAGTTTCAGCAATCGCCTTTCGTAGCGCGCATCGCTGCCCAAGAGCCACAGGCCCGGCGGCACTGCGCCTCCGAAGAACACGGCAGTGCGGCTGACTGGGTTTTTAGTTGTGGTGACGATGTGGCCGATGCAGACGAGGAGGTGGGGACGTCCAGGACCAGTCACTGCTCCGCTTTCGGGGGCTAACTAGTCTTGTTCGTATCATAGCTGACGACAGCAAGTACACGTTGTTGATACTGCAGAATGGATTCGTCACTTTGGCTAATTATGCCAGTTAACTATGAGCATAACCACGGTGAAGATGGCGAGAATGGGGATGATTCCTATCCGTCCTGTTCTGCTGCGACGGCGGCACTTGCGGTGAGGGCTGACTGAGTCATCCGATCTCTGACGTTGACCTCCCACATGCTTGTGGCATGACCTCAAAGCCACGCCAGACGAGCAAACACAGCAGCAGCTCTTGGTGTCCCGCACGAGTCAGGCCCCGTTCACACACACAGAGACTCAACATCGAAGAACCCCATTGAGCCTACGCGGTGCCACAAGACCTCAAGAACCCATACCAACGATTAATAGAACACCGAATTAGATAATCATCTGTTGCCTTCCTGTCCCCAGGGTGGAATTGTCACCGGCATGAAGCGCGTCTTCACCTTTCCGGACATCAACAAGGCCAGGTTTTGGATCCCGTTCCGTGATTTCATGACGCTGTTTAGCATTTAGGGCTAGTTATAAGTACCCATAGGCCCCATAGTAGTTCCTTTTTGTGGCTTCTATTTAGGATCCCATTAGGTAATCCCAAAGAGGAACTACCATGGGGCCTATCGGTATAGGGTTCCTTGAAAAGTTCTATAGGGTTTATATGGTGTTTTGGGGTTGTCGGGCGCTTGTTCAAGAAGGATGGCTCGAGTCTCGGGTCAACCGGACTTCCAGCAGCGGGATTCCCGGGGTTTAGGGGTTTAGGGGTTAGGGTTTAGGGCCTCCGTCCAACAGTCTGTTCCCCTTGCAATCTCCTCAGAGGAACCGTCGGACTTGAAGCTTACGGCCAACGGAAGGAAGCTAACACCCCGAACTCCTACATCCGAAAACCGCCCTTCGCCAACGAGATCACTTCACTGAGTCCCCAAGCCACTGCTTAGTAGTAAAACTTTATAGTGCAGCAGCCCTTATAGTACCCCGAACGGGGTGCCCTGATAAGAACCTTATAGTGACCTTTGTAGACTGCCTGGCCGGGAATCCACTGCGAAGTTGGCTCGCACAGCCGTCCCCGGGCATCCAGAAAAGTGCTCACCTCGCCATTGCTCTTATAATGGCACTGATAATTAGAATAGGGTGTTAGTGGCTCCTTAGTATGATCATAGTAGAATATACCCCAAAACCCTATTCTAGTTCTTAAGGCTCCTCTTTTTACCGTTGCTACGGTGGGTCATGGCTTTCATGCGTCGCCAATCTTAGTCCAAAAAACCGGAGATCCAGGACATATTTCTTTGGGTTTAGGGTTTAGGGTTCCGGGTTAGGGTTTAGGGGTTTATTTTTTTTGAAACCTCTGTTCCATCCCGCTGCAGGTCAGGAATACCATGCTGGTTGAGGTGGGGTCAAGGAGTGTGGCTTGATTTTGAAGGGATTCACCACCTGATAAGAGGTTTAGGGTTTAGGGTGACGGCAAAATCGGGAAGCTGCTCGCAACCATCAACCCCGCTATTTCTGAACATTGAGGCATGTGTGCGCGTATCGTCCCTTCCTTGGTTCATGGTGGATGTGGCGCACCCAGGCTCGATTTTGGACGTCCTTTGTATCTTAGTTCTGCTGCCTGATTGCAAAGCTGCACAACCCGTCGCGCATTTAGGAAACTATGACTCCCCCCCAACCCTAAACCCGACACCGTGCTGCATGATTGGAGCTTCATGCTAACAGGCGAACCAGGCGGCATTCTTGGACTCTCATGATCAGGAACCTATCGAAGGGCCGCTGGCCCCTATGATGTGAAAAGAGTCGGCTTCCGGTTGGAGGCGGTTTCTGTTCAAGAGTCGTGCAAGAATTCTTTGCTCCCAGTAGCTATTCTGCATGCCTCAAGGCAAACAGCTGCAGTAAGTTTCGATGCGAGCACATATTCACACAACCCGCCCTACCAACGACAGTGGCAAGCGAAACTTACACTGGCAGGCATGCAGCCATGTACTCGTTGGCTGCCCAATCGCCGATGGTTTCCATAACAACTACCTCGGCCGTGGCATCGAATGTTCTGTCTGGCAAGAGCTACAGCACAGCTATTTCCATCTGCTAGTCGGGCATGTCTTGCGCTCCCGCATGCACTGCCGTCGAAGCAACCCTGCTCCTTCGAACCCGTTCGAATCCCTGCAGAACCTACAGGACCTGAGCTCAAATTCCCTCATGGCACCCACCCCTGCCAACAGTCTAAGTCGCAAGCACCCGAGCGACGTCTGACATAGAACTCTTCTCCATGCTACCGAAAGTCGGAGAGTAATTTGTGTGATGATTGAGTATGACTATGATCCTACTTCTTGGTGTTACAGTTTCTTGTTCTTGGTGAGCAGTGATGCATGCGCTTTTTGGCCCGACACACCTCATACTAGCAGCATTTATCCTGTGCTCTCCCATGTAGTCTTGGTGCAACTTATTCTGTCGTTCTTGAATATTTGATAGTCCTCCTGTGATGTCCCACGGTTTAGGGTTTAGGGTTTAGGTTTTAGGGTTTGGGTTTAGGGTTATCCAGGGTATCATCATATCCGGCTATCTACTCCTTGTGTGACCATGTTCCGTTGGCATTTGCATCATTAACGGCTGCCGTGCTGCATTGGCCAGTGCACCAAGCCTTTCGGGCACCATGTCCTGGCAGGGCTCGAGACACTCAGGCCAGTCGGAAATTTCATAAACTCGAATCAGTCCCGCAGAGTATGACAGCGCCCACTTCTTGGCGCAAGAACATGGGGAAGCTCTACTGGGAAGGCGCGAAGAAGACATTTTCATTCAACGTGAACCGGACATGGCCAACGGTGCTCCTGCGAGAGTCCCGCGAAGACCTGTCGACTTCAAAGGTTGGGACTGTGCTGTATTGATAGAGTAGCCCAAACGACGTAAAGACCAATTGTCTACGAACGAGTTTGCAGGAAGTCATGGCTGTCCCATGCCAGGAATATACCATTGCTGACAATGTAGAATAACTTCAGCGATTTGTTGAAGCAGTACCTAGCAGAAGCAGCAGCACCCTNNCCCCCCCCCAAAAAAAAAAATAAAAACATAAAAATAAAATAAATTACAATACAATAAACATAATAATAATATAGGCAATTATTAAGGCCCCTATATTAACCACGACCGGCTTCTTCGGCCACTCATGCCTCTGGGAAACATGATCCCACACAGAGCGCTGCACGCATGCCGGGCTCCTTACCTCGACAGTCGTTCGCCGCTAGCCGAAGCCAGGACCCAAACGTCCCCTACCTCTGACTCCTGTACTCCGATGTCTCCTGATAAGAGCGCACAGTTTTGGTAACGGTACTGACTCCTGCAATCATCACATGTCAAGACTGGTAACAATACCATATAATACAATATAGCATACATATATATATATATATACACATATAATGAATATATAGTAGGATGAAAACTCCGCTCCCCGCCCGGAGCCTTGGCACCTTCTCCTAAAAGGCGCTGGGCCCTTGCAGCCGCCCAGCTGTTGCCCTCGATTGCGAGCACCTGCACCCGAAGGCTCAGCAGCACAGCGTGCGCGGCTTACAGCAAGCGTAATTGCCAAACACTGGGCAAGAAGGGGTGCTGAACCACAGTTCGGAGGCGTATGCAGATTTGAGGCATGAGGGACTGTGAGTTCCGAGATGAGGGAATCAGGGAGCACCTAAGGCTGAGGGCCAACGGCTCGGGCTTTGCGGGCTAGATTTCTAACATCGACCTTGAAAGGGGAAGCAAATGGAAGCATGGCTTCGTTCAGCCTCAGCGATATGCCTCAAACAAGAAGCCACGGCTGCTCCGAAGCTTGCCCTTTAACGCTTGAAGGAAGACAGCTACGAAAGCAACGCCGAAGGCCTTATCCGCGCCCTCCTCAGTGCAGATGCGTGCAAAGGGCGCATAAGCACCGCAGCCGATCTCCAGAACCACCATCGGGTCACCTGGTGGCGCTAAAACGGCATTCGAAGCCCGACACAAGATGGCATCCCAGGCACTTTGCCGGCTCATCATCCTACCAACAGCGATGCTTCGGAGCATCGGCCGTTTGGCTCTTCAGAATTCAAAGCAGTTCCCCACAATTCGACTGATCATGTCTCCCTCTGATTTTACTGCTGGCAGGGCACCTCTAAATTCCAGGCGCTTCGCACAACGCTGCAGTGCCCTGACTGCCAGTAGCTATCGTCACTCACACTTGCAGTTAAGGTCGTTTCAGCCTAGACACTCGCAGCGCATCCCAGAACCTGCTTCCCAGAGTAATCAAGCAGCACACATAGCTGGTGCGAAGACTGCAAGACCCTGCAAGACTGCGTAAACAGCACTGAACGGACTCGAACGAAGCGGCTGAAACCCACAAGAGCCGTCAGTTTGCAAGAGCTCCAACCCCTGGAATAAAGCTCTGAACCTCCAGGATGCACACTGAGAGGTCTGTCAAAAAAAGTGTGGGTCCTCCGGAAAGATGCCGACTTCTTCTCATCACTGGCCATCATGGCATAGCTCAGAAGACTATAACCTCGCTCACCCTTTTCGAATGATGGAAACACACTTCAAGTTAACGACTGCAGATCCCTGGATGAAGAAATCTGAAGAAGTGTATTTCATGGAAAACGAGGTCAGTCACGAAGATGGCACTGCAGAGAGCGTCTATAAGGTTGATTGATAATGGTCTTGGGTTTGAGAGCGATTCTTGTCTTGTGCATAAGGGCTACATCCATCAAAGATGATGGTCAAAGGGCTATCAAAGTGAGACTTTGGTGTCCTAGGGTTTTGCAGAAGGGCCGATGCAGAACCTGTAGGCAGGACTCCTGGCAAACCTTCCCAAACATCTGCGAAATTGCAAGATGAACTCCAGCTTCCTTCATGCAGTGTCGTTGGCAAGCTGAGGACCCAGGGCTAAGCTGATGATGCTTGTGTTGGTGGTAGCGTGCTGATCCCCATGCTGGCTGTTCGCGCTGGTAGTGGGTCGGGGGTGGCCGTGCAGGTCTGTCTTTCAGCTGTCGTTGCCGAGAAGCGTGTGTTGAAGGTCGTCACATCCGTTCGAACCGTCCTACCGAGAGTTGCACGATGTTGCACGGATGTGAGATCGTAGGTCGCAACGTGACTACGTGGCGGCAACTCGATGCTACTCCGCACAAGGCTGCAACTCGTGGCCCACACACCTCGCCTGTACTTCTTCCCAGCCACAGAACGGCCAGCACGCCGCAGCCCCCAAACAAAGAGCGCCACGAACCAATTCCAAGCCTGCGCGGGTTGTCTGTACGTAGGTTTCCAGTGTCGTGTTCAAGTTAAAGGACTCCGTCTAGTGCGCACTGATTCTGGTGCCTTCCCCAACAGTAACAGAATAATCGTGGAACATTCCCTTGCGCGTATCTGCGCGTATGCGGTTTGGAGGCGCCGCAGGAACAAGCTGCATCACTGTGCTACCAGCGCATCTGACATCAGTCTGTACGATCCTCCTGTCCACGCCTGAGACAAGCTACGGCAGGAATCTGTGCAACACGCAAGTGGTGTGCACTTCAGTCGAAGACTCTCGTGTCGAGGGCTTCGTTGAAGACCTATGAACAAATCCGAGTATAAATGGCCTCCTCCCACTGCCACCACAAAGACTGCCACGACGGCGGGTTGGCTCTCAACCTACCTGACGGTAGTACATCGAAGTGTGTCTTGGCACGTCGCTTCTCGAGAGCGACAAACAGCAGAGCGATTCTAACAAGCTCGAGCATGCACATCCACATCACATCACGTTGGGCCGGGCCTCTGCATTGGCTGCGACTGCTGTCCCGACGTCCTCGCGCTGCAGTCGCCAGAGGTCCAAATGGCGCTGCCTCAATCCGGGATTGATCGACATACCAAGACTACCTATCACCACTTACGCCGAGATGTTGGTATATACCTCGACACGTAGCATGCCTGCGCCCACCATGACTATCAGCTCGAGCTATTACTCGAATCGCTGTGTTACAGCATCTTCTTCAATACACACAAAACTTCGCTAACGACCTCCTTCAGCGACATCGCATCTCCTTGCTGATATGCTGCGGTGCCCTGCTGTCCCGTGAGAACGGCGCCAACATGGCAAAAGCTCGCCATGGATGCCGCATGGCCGCCTGCGATGCCTGCCCCTCCATCTACTCTTCGGGTACTGTGCAACTGGGCTCATCCTTGGAAGTTTCAGCTCATGTGCCATAACAGTCTCTTAAAACAAGCAACCGGAGGGTCTGGCAAACCATGTAGTGCAGCATACACACCCTCTTGAAGCTTGACGCATCATGCAGGATCGCACGGAGCTAATTCTAGACTATGGTCGCGGCAATGTCCCTTTATGCTGGAACTGGCTGTGACAACTCGAGACCTTCTTCCGAAAAGGCAGCAGCTTCAAAACACGGAGGCTGTTCATGCTCTGGTTTGCCAAAATTGTATACATGCTAACAACAATTGTGCATACAGATATACCTTGATGCAGACAAAGATACAGACGCGGACATAGATAGAGGTATAGACATAGATAAACATGATATCAATCCAGATACAGGGAAAAGTCACAACTTCCCCCTATGTTCCGCCCCCCAACCCACCCTAAACCCTAAACCCTAAACCCTAAACCCTAAACCCTGACCCGGCAGCGTCTGAATGAAGCCGGAGGCGACCGGTTCTCAGTGGCTTCCGCCTCCATGAGCGCCTCGCGTCTTCGCTCCGGGAGTTTAGGGTTCAGGGTTTAGGGCTTATAGGGTTTATAGGGTTTATAGGGCTTATAGGGTTTAGGGTTTAGGGCTTTGAACTTCGGGATGCATATTCGACGGAAGGGGTTATTAGTGTTATACTGTGTTGTGGTTAGGATTATGCTCATGAGTAATGCCATTAAGAACTACTACTTAGTACTTAGCATGGGTGTGATTGTGACTTCTATCCCGCTTCTGCTGGTCATGTTAAAGATGCTGATGGTGAAATTCATAACACCTCCCACTACTCTACTACGGCTGGTGCTGCTGCTGCTGCTGTTACTACTGCTACTACTACGAATAATTCGACTACTACAACTAATACTTCCACTACTACGACGACGACAACGACTACAATCCCTAAGCCCACATTGGCCCAAAATACAAAGCCCGAAACCCCAACATTCACAAACTCGCCATACCCATGGGAAGGCGCCACGGCCAAATCGACAGCTGTTGCCCCATGGCCCCGAAACCCCAAACCCAGAGACTCCAAAACCCCTCAATTGAGGAATATACCTTAAATTATAGTAGGATCCGGAGTCTCTGGGAAACCCCGAAATGGGCCCCGACTCCAACAGAAGCGAACCAGCCTTGAGTTGCTGCTCAGCGCGGTCCCTCTCTTCGGCTGCATAGAGCTCTTCGATCTGGTCAGTATATGTTATATATATACACACATAGATATAGACGCACGTACATACATACATACATACATACATACATACATACATACATACATACATACATATATATATATATATGTATATACACTGACATATATATATATATAGAGATGTGTATACATTGACATAGATATATATATATATACACACACACGATGTTCTTTTCGTTTTTACTTGTCTAGGGCTTGAGGGCTGGGATCGTCGGCTTTAGAGGGTTTGGGGGTAGCAGAGCTGTCGGCACCCGCTCAGTTTGGGATGGTGAGCTCAAAGATAGGAGCGGCTGGGGAGGCTGTTGAATCTACTTGAAGGATCATGGGACTTAGTAACTAGGGTTATAAATAAGGTAACTATAATTATAACCCTAATTAGGGTACTTATAACCTTACTTACTAAGTCCCATGATCCTCTAAGTAGTGCTTGTCTTCATGAAGTTGTACTGAGCGTTCCAGAATTCCGGAATGCTTGCTTGCATCGTTCGCTTCGTCGAACTTGTTGCGATGCTACGGCTTCCAGAAGCTTGAACGAGTACGACACCGTACCTTAGAAGCTTGGGCAGATTGCATTCCGAAGCCACAGCTGCATCTTTCGTACATCATTTCTTACATGCAGTCTCACTTCGGACCACCATCGTTGCCACTGTACCATCGCAGCATGGTGCAGTACGCTGTGCGACACCGGGAGGCGGGAGGCCCTTCTCAGGAAGAGTTGATGGATGCAACATGCAACATCAGCTGACAGGTAGATCTGCCCCGCAACAGCCTGGAGGCCTCTGTATCCGAGCTTGAGATGTGCTGTCTCACTGCAAGATCCCAGACACAATGCCTCCCGTCTCTCGATCTCCTTGTCGATAATCTGGACAATGGTCGTGTAGCCAAGACGCTCAGCCACCTGCAAGCAGTTTTGCTTCGGGAACGGCCTAGCCCCAAGCTGCAAGCCCTGTCGACACGTCGATGACTCGTGAAGTTCTTGGTCAAGTACCCAACATTCACTCTGGTCGCCGAAACGCGCTTGTCTTCAAGTCGATTGACTAGCGCAGTCGTGTCGCTCTTTCCGAGACAAAAGTCACAAAACTGTTCTTGGATTTGCAGCCTTTGTGTCAAACCGAAATAGATTGGAGAGGAGATCCCCAAAATGCACCTCAACCACCGACTAGCTGAGGGGTGAATGGTCTCTGCTTCAAGACATCGGGCAGGGATGTGAACTGAACCCAGTTGCAGTCGTCACCGTCATTTGCCAAGGTCATTCGATTGCACCTTCTAAAACGCGATTATGATATCTGGTACTTCTTGTCCCCTCGCCTTCCAACCTTTCACCATAGGACCTTAGGAGAGCAAAAGCACATCGGGCACCCCAACAACCTCGAATCCTCAGGAATCCGAAACTCGAGGTATGCAGACCCAAAAGAATGTGCCCCAGTTCCAAAAACTGCCAGAAGATTTTGGTGTGTATGTCTCTATATATATAAAGGGAGGAAAATATGCAATTTCTGCTTATTCAGCTCATATATATATATATAGATATAAATATAATATATATATATATATGTATATATATATATATACATACTTGTTTATACACGCAGATACACATGCATATACATGTATATCTACATGTACCTGTAGGTGCAGATGTAACTGTAGAATCATAATGTACATGTACATGTATATGTATACCTTTATGAAAGTATGCGAAAGCAAGTAAACGAACTAAGTGAGTAAGTAAGCAAGCAAGAAAGCAAGCATGTAAGCATTTACGCATGCATGTATACATGTATGTAGGTGTGTATGGATGGGTGCATGCATGCAAGTAAGTATGTAAGTATGTATGCATGTATGTGCATATATATATATATATATGTGTATATGGTATGTCATACAATACACAATACTTGTTCTGTTACATAAGTTACATGTATACATACACACATACATACGTACATACATACATACATACCTACTTACATACATATGCACATGCATACATACATGCATACATACATACACACATGCATATGCACATAGACCGAGCTACTCATCTATGTACATGTACACGTACATGTGCATGTACTTCCAGATGCATCTGTATCAGGGCATGTGTATGCGTGTGTGTGTGCATGTATGTATGAACGTACGTGGGTACGTGGGTATGTAGGCATGTAGGCATGTACGTATGTATGTATGTATGTATGTATGTATGTATGTATGTATTAACAATATCTCCGTCTATATATACATGTATACATATATGTGAGTATATATATATATAGATAGATATGCTGCTAGCGATTAGACTCAGACAGGGTCGAAAGCCAGTGCCTCGCCTTTCGCGGTGTTTGGCCACGAATGTTCTCAGCGACCGCCTGGGGGTGAGAAATAACGGCGAGACGGACTGCTCGGAGCGGTAAAGAATGGTACCTATAGTCTGCATTGTAGATCCTTTTGGGGGTACCTTATAAAATCGAGACTATATGTAGTTTGATTGTGTCCATGCAGTAAAGCAATGTATGTCGAGGACTTTAGGAGAAGCTTTGCACGCTTTTCAACACTGGGCTCTTGGCATCAGCCCTGGCTGCCAACAGTGCCCTCACGACCTCTTCCTGGCCGCGGCGAAATTATGCCCTCGGTGTTTTAATCCGACATCTCAACTACGCCGAGAACCCTGCTACGGAAATGAGACCAACTTACATTCCTTCCTCTGAGGCTGTGATGGAAAAGGCACGATCTAATATATCATCTATATATGTAGTAAGATTACCAATAGTATCAGATGTGTAATATGTACTATATGACACATAATATATAAAGACATGCCAAGGCGGGGCTCTGCCGAAGTAGGTCGCAATGTGGATGGGCGCTTGCTCGCAGGTGTCCCTGGAATTGCACTCGTCTCATTTCATGGGGACATCTCTCCTGAACATGCAGGATTTTTATGCGCACAAAAATCATGCATGCTTCTGGGGAGGTTCCTTGTCTGAATTCACTGGGCCGGATGTATGCCATTGGCCCCTCTGGGAAGTCGCCTCATGTCCACGGCTGCACCGGCCGTGATCAGCGTCTGCAGCGAGTGTATCTCGGCGCCGCACACTGAAGCGAAGAGGCTCCCGGTCACCCTTGCAGCCCTTGGCCTTGCCCCTCCACCATCAAGAAGCTACGAGTAGCAAACATTAGTTGTATTTACCTTGATGCAGCAACGGTTTGTGAGCAAAAAACTCACAGTATACACAGAATCAGCACTAGTGCGTTCCTTGCCATGAAAGACTGGAGGATGCTCGAACTTCGGGTTGCAAGAATGCAGTCCCCGCGGACACAGCCCATTCTCCCATTGGTGGTACTATTGTCAGCGTTTACAGTAGGGGGTGTATGTGTGCCATTAACAAAAATATTGTATATATATATATATAATATATATATATATGATATATATATATATATAATATATATATATATATATATAATATATATATATATATATAGTAAAAACTATATATATATACACATATAATACATATATATATATATATATATAAATATATATGTATATATGTATTGTATAGGTATATCATGCTGGTGCCCACATCACAGCGGCTTTGCAGCAGGTAGCCGCTAGCCCCACCAGCACGGCGATCCGAAACCCAAACGCGTGAACGCCAAACCCCGGAGACCGAGGCTTGAAAGCCGGGGGGTTGAAGGGGCAAACCATTTCAAGGCTATGCTGTGCTAGTCAGTAACTACAGTAACTACAGTCGCTACACTGATTTTCAGATCATACTTGTCTTATCATGTCTTAGCTCTCTAAGAGCAATCCCGGAATTCTCAGCCCAGCACTGCGCCCTCGCGCGCAGCGCGATGGAGGGGCCCTTGCCCTGCAAAGTGTGGTAGGATGTGGTGAATGTGGTGAATGTAGTATAGTAGTCGCTAGCAATAGTAGCCAGAAACTCAGAGACAGTCATGACTAGGACATATATATATATATATATATATTGATATATACATATATATATATATATATACATACACACATAAACCTATGAACCAAGTGTCCCGCTATCGGCGGGAAGCCTGCAAGACGGAATCCTGACTGTGGACAGATTTGCTCAGGAAACGCCCACCCGATGCAGGCACATGGTGCCGAAATCGCGAGGCTTTGGATTTTTTGGAGCTTAAGGCCTCGAATAACTAAAGCCCTAAACCCTAATTTAAACCCTAAACCTCGGGTTGGCCTGTTTTGGGCTGGCCAACTTTCCATGTAGGGGGGGTTCTGGAGTTCGAAGTTGCTCATCTTGCAATACCAGCGCTTGCGGCTCATGATCGGGGCACAGCTTTTCTACATGCAAACCTATGTCTACATCTATATGGGAGTTTCCGAAAATTAGGGTATCCTATTTGGGGGTCCTTATAATAAGGATCCTACTATTTAGGGTACTATATTAGGGCCCCTATTTTCTGAAACCCCCATATCTATCTAGTTTCAGAGGCTCATGGGCCAATTCAGTCCTTGGTCTTTCGCGGACAATCGAACACAGCAACACCTGCTCGGAACCTCTCCGCATTCCGAGAGCTGCACTATGTTATGAAAACCTCGTCTACAATCTACAGTCCTGAGATCTGTCATGTCCATCGACGGAACCCCTAAGTGCCAAACTCAGAAGCACATCTACAAACTCCAAGAACCCAGCAACTCATTTTAAATGTCAGCCTCCGGCATCTTTGATCTGAGGGTCTGCACGAAGTGACTGCCAGCAGAACAGGCTTCAGATTCAGGGATCCCAATTTGGGGGTTTCCGATTATTAGGGGTACCTTATTTTGGGGTCCTTATAATAGGGATCCTAATATTTAGGGTACTATATTAGGGTCCCCTATTTTCGGGAACCCCCATTTGTTTACAGCGGGGTTTCAGAGCGGATGGGCAGTCAGTGCCCTTCTCGTTGCAAGGCTACCAGCTTCGATACTCCGTGCTAGCGGTGAGGCGCAGGTGAATGTAGGAGCCTTAATAATTAGAATAGGGTTTTGGGCGTTCCTTATTACACTTATAGTATACTATACGCCAAACCCTATTCTAATTATTAAGGCCCCTTTATTACTCTTCAGAAGGGATCAGGGGAGGATCCTTTGAGCAGGTTCCCCATTTGTTCATACTCTTGGGCTAGCTTAGGTCGAATCCGCGTCTGCCCCGACCTCATTATACTAGAATTATAATAAAGGAACCCCTAAAATAGTACAGGTAATTATGTAGGCCCCTACAGTATTCCCGTCGGAGTCGCAAACTCTGAATGCAAAGGTTATTAGCATTGAGCAACGAATCGAACAAACCGAAGCAGTACAACATGCAACGCTCAACGCCAGTTGCCGCTGGTCCGCTAGTCATCGGTAGTTCATCGGTGCTAGTATCATCCGAGTCATCACTAGCCTCATCATCAGCATCGTCATCATCAACATCATCATCATCATCACCATCATCGTCATTCCCACCATCATCAACATCAACATTCCCACCGTCATTGAAACCAATGTGTTCATGATTTATCTTCACGGTCATCCTCACCATCATCATCGTCACCACCATCATTGACACTATCGCTTTTCTTATCATACTCATGTTCACGATCATTTTCATCATCATCATCATCATCGTCACCATGCTTGCCAACATCGTCATTACCGTGATCCGGGGTTATGACCAACATTTTTACGGCTGCCGACATCACCATCATCACCATGAACCCCCAAACATCACCATCACCATCATCAGCAGCAGCATCATGACCGCCACAGTTGTCGGAATTGCCATGTTGTATGTGATCTTCGTCAACCTGTCGGTCTCTGAGATGCTGACCAACAGCATTTGGACCACTTTGAGCTTGTGACTCCTGGCACGCCGCAGCGGAGGGAACATCACAAGACAAGGCTTGAAACAAAGCCCGGCCCCGCAACTCCGGTACATAGGGTTCCATTCAACAAGATGCCACAATCCCATGACTGACTTCTGCGACAGGAGTCTTGCATGTTCTCACAAACCACGTACGCGGTTCTCAGACGTCACATCGGCGAATATTTCGTGTCCCACCGCTGAGACTTGCGAGCTAGTTGAGCACTCGTTTCACATACATATATACATATATGAATATAGACAGGTATATTTTTATATGTACATACTTATACATATGTATATATATATATATATGTATAGTTGCATATAGTTGTGTATAATCACATGTAGGTTTATTTTTGCTATATGTATATATATATAGCTATATGAAGTTATGTACAGTTGTATACAAATTAATATGCACATGCGATTGTGCTTACAGAAGTCAGTCGATGCTTGATTTTCCCTCTCAGCTGAGGCCAGAACTGCACTGCAACATGCAGGGCTGTTTCGAAGGGGATGCCGCCGACTTCGTTGACGTCTGCCTTGTGGGCTGCACATCTTTCAGTCACACCATCTGTACTGCAGCTTCCACACCAACTTCTGGCTCGCGTCTCAACCAAGACAACTGGATCCGAATGATGTGCCTGTACCTATAGTCTCCATTGTAGTTCCTTTTTTTGGTTTAACCAAATTATATATTAAGGATCCTATAAGGAAACCCCAAAAAGGAACTACAATGGAGACTGTAGGTATATTGACTTTAAGGACATTCAGCGTCTCCCCCCCCCCCCGTCTCGGCACATTTCCCGCCTCGTACCGCGCGAGTAGCTTGATGGCTTCTCTGTGTCCATCCCGGGCAGCATACAAGATAGGTGGCTGCCTCACTTTGTGACGGAGCTTTGGCAACCTCTGCTGCCTTGCCTGAATCTCCGTGGCCTGAAGCGGCTTGAAAAAGGAGTCTAAATCACCCAGAAAGCAAAGAAATGATGCCCGAAATCATCCTCATCATCTGAGGCCTGATAGCCACATGATAGCCACATGAACCAACCCTAAACCCTAAACCCTAAACCCTGTGTCATATTCAAGCCCCAAAGTCCCAAGGCTCCACCACTCTGAACCGGCGGTAACTAGCGAAGGCCTCTCGCTTTGCAACCCTGATCCCGAAGCTCCAGGCTTCCAGTCCACGGTCTACCTACAGTCCCCATTGTAGTTCCTTTTTGGGGATACCTTATAAAACCCATGATAGTTATATATATATATACATATATATATATATATGGTTAAACCAAAAAACTACAATGGTAAAACCCAAGCCTGACGGCGGGCTGCTTGAACCCTAGCTTGGGATCCTCAGTCATATGGGAGTTTCCGAAAACAAGGGGTACCATATTTTGGGGTCCTTATAATGCAGATCCTACTATATTAGAGTTCCCCATTTTCGGAAAGCCCCCCATCCTAAGCCCTTGTCCTTGGCCTCAAAGCAAGCACAAGCCTGGCAAATCCCCAAACCCTGGAATCGCAAAACCCAAAACCCTTTAAACCCTACAGCTTACACTCTTAAGCCCGCAAACCCTTAAACTCTAAAGTACCCTGAAACCCCTCTTTCAAGTCCTGAATAGGGCCCGAGCTCCACTTCATCCAGGCTATCCCGGCCGCCGGCTGGCACCCCGAGCTGGAGCAGGCCCTGCGGTTTCAATGCTTGAGCCTTCAAAATTCGAATGGGGTTTTGGGGTATGCCATACTTTTAGACAGACTATAAGGGGATAGTTGCTCTGTTGTGTCTTTTGGCTTTGGGTGTTCAGGTCTCTACGTTTGTAGGGTTTGGGTATGAGATACATAAAGGGATATTCAATGAGTTTCGGCGTCAGGGAGCAGAAGGCTCACCTCGGGTAGAGTGTGCAAGCTTTATGGGGCTATAAACTGTTACACCTTTGAGTGCTTTGGTTTTGCTAATGCTTTGTAGAGTGGGGAGATCCCCACCACCCAACGACAGCTTCCTTCATCCAAGCACCTACACATCAATCTCTGCTCCATTGAGACCGCTGCTGTCTCAACTTGTACTCTACACTTCTCCCTTGAACAGCCTGAACGGGGCTCTGCTGGCCCTAAACCCTACACACCCAAATGAATCCTCATGAACCTTCATAAATCCTAACAGAAACCCCAAGCCAGCCCGGCTCCTGCATGGCTTCGAAGTCGCCCTTCGAAGCCAAATACCTGACTGAACGGGGGGGAATACAACAAGATTGCCGAGTTCGATCTTAGTAATGGTAATGGTAATAGTAGTAGTAATAGTAAGCATAGTGGTAGTAGTGGCGATCGTAATGGATGCTACTTGTTCTTCTTGATCCATAGCAGTGGCCGTAGTCGAAGTAATTAGCAGCAGCAGTCGAAGTAGAAGCAGTCCTGCGCGCTGTGGCAACAGAACATAAGGCTCGAGCACACCTCCAGTCTCAAAATGCAACAGCTTAGCCAGAAAAGCTACAACCATTAACACTGTGAGAAACCTGTTGCAGGGGTTTTTACACAATGGACCTGGCTACTTAGTTGCGATTTTTTCCTTGCAGAGCCCGTGAGCTGTGAAAGTAACAGGGCTGCTGCCAGCAGCCAGCATGTGTCAGATCCAAGGGGGCTGACAATCGCCATACTGAAACACGGGGCAAAGAGGGGTGCACTTTCCCGAAGGATCCACGTACTTGATCTGGCCGTTGCTTTTGCACCTGCAGCAGGCTTTCTTGCCCACCTCCTCGTGGTTGCCAGACTCCTGGATCAAATGTTCATAGATCTCCGCTTCTTGGTTGCCCTGGACGCCCTGTTGCTGGCCAACACCGCTGCCAAGCTGAGCCTGATCTTGCGACCGAGCCGCCCGAAAACAGGCGACAGTCAGCATGGAAAGAAGCACACGAAGCAACATTGCCATTGCGCACACAAAGGATACTACAGCAACTTCAGGTGAGTACTGTTTGGGAATCAGAGCTCTTCTGGAGCAGGGCCAGCCGACACGGCAGTCACGTCCATGACATGTGGTTCGAGCGGCGCCAAGTCAAGACCACACTGCTGCAACCCTCGAGAAGCAATCTGCATCTGTGTATGTGTGTGTGTGTATATATATATATAAGAATTCACCGTTTTTACATACATATACACACATACATATACATATACAAATACATATACATATTCGAATACATATACATATGCTTACACCTATACATATGCTTACACATATACATACACATATACATTTACATTTACATATGCATATACATATACATATACATATACATATACATATACATACATACATATATATATACATATATTTACAGGTTTGTTTGTTTGTTGATACATGTGTATATATGCATATATAAGAACAAATGTATGTAGGTATATATATATATATATATTCACCTATAGGATACATAAGAACATGAGTAGCTAATGCACGTGTGTGCATATGTATGACAGTGCATCCGACATACTACACTTCATTATGTACAGCTCTACACATACAGGTAGACGTTATACGGCTTGTCTATCTGTGAACTTGCTTTTTTTGGCGCGTCTGTTCTAGCTATATTGGGATACTCGGATACACCCTTGCTGCATGTTTTTGTCCCCTAAACCCTAAACCCTACATAGACCCTAAACCCTAGCAAAGCTTGTATGGTACCTATCGTATCAACTCAGGACCCGGGCCCTGGGAGTCTCGGAGTGCTTCAAGGGATATCAAGGGATGGCTTTCGGGAGTCGGACTTCTTGGCTTCGAAGGTCAGTTTAGGGTTTAGGGTTTAGGGTTTAGGGTTTAGGGTTTAGGGTTTAGGGTCAGATGTTGGGACTGGTCTAACTTGTCTTCAACGGCGCCGCCAGAATGAGAGCATCGTTAGGAATAAGACTACGGTCAGCAAGACCTCATGAACACTGTGCATGAAGGAGCAAGCTGTTTTCTAGATGGTCCGACTAAAGGACTCACAAACAAATATTTGGGAGAACAGAAGAAACCCCAAGGACTTCCTACTACCTACTTGTATGATGAAAACACAGGGAAGGCCCCTTGCAGTTCGCAGACTCTTTGGGCTATCGCACTTCGAGGCTTGGGATGCAGGAACGGCGAGGTGTTGAGGGGAGTCCCAAAGGTTCGGGGATGACAGCGCGAAGGACTTCCAGGCTCTGGGCTTCTGGGAATTGAGGCAGTCTCGAGTGCAACATGGTGGAATGCTATCCTCCTGTATTTTCTTGGGGGTTCCTTATTATTGTATAGTATACCCCAAAGTGGAATGCTATCCTCCTGTATTTTCTTGGGGGTTCCTTATTAACTATTGTATAGTATACCCCAAAACCCTTTTTCTAATTTCGGACCAGAAGGCAGTCTCAACTCCTGCGGGCCCGGAGGGGGAATCCGGGTGGAACCTTCGGCTGCCCTAAGCCCTGAACCCTGGCATCCACTCAAAGTGGAGATACGGTTCATGATATAAATCCTGCATTACCTTAAGGACCCTAAACTATGGGAATTATGGGACATTCCTTATTCTGGGTAATAAAGGATGTATATCATCAGCCGTACAGTGAGGCTCAGGACCTGGCCTAAGATAGGCATAGCCTCCGCCAAGCCTCGAATCGGAGGCGCGTCACAGAAACAACACTGGCTGCGTTTGTCTAGGTCCTCCTTCCCTCGTTCGAAACCGGAGTACCTCGATTCTGACTTACACCACCGAACAGAGGTGGCAACGGGTCAGACCAGGTCCGCAAGGCTTGCAGCTCAACATTCACATCGCTGGGACAAGCCGCTTCTCTCCTTCACCCTGTCTCTCGGTCTCTCTCGTGCGCTCTTCTTCTCCCTCTCTGCCTCGAAATCCTTAAATTATTACTGACCGATGCCGCTGTGAGTTGTGCCCCATCACTGTCGAGTCAGCGACGGGAATGGCCACAGGAACTTGCGAAGGAAGGCAGCCGTCTTGTTAAACTGGCCGCTGCTGAAGTGGCTGGTCGAATGATTTGGCCAGGGGGCTCAAGGTCTCGATGGCTTTGCTGTGCGAAAACAGCAAGGTGCTTCAGAAGAAGGATGAAGAAGGCTACACACTACGCCCCTAGACCTTCAAGGAAGCAGCAGCTAGAGACCGCTACAGCTTGATCTCTGTAAGATACTCGTGACACCGAAAGTCTAGTTCAATAGCTGTGAACTTTACATGTCATGTCGCCAGAATTTCAGTGAGTACAGGCGGCAGAAGGTGTCCGAGTCGACATGTACCAAAAAACTGTTCTGTCCATCAGGGCGAGGTATTCAACAACTGCATCTGCAAGTGCAGATGACATGAAATACCAGGGCTCACATGTCTCGACTCGAAACAACACATGTCAACATGCGGGAGATTCACTCAATCCTCAACCTCGCAACTAAATCCTATACCGTCAACGTTCTCAACGCTGAACCTTTGACATCAAAGACTACACTTCGCAAACCCTATCTAGATCCTAACCTCATCAGTCTTGATTACTGTAAACAGGCCAGCTCAACAGCACGGAGAATCTCCTGGCGCGAGCTTGCCGGAACTCCTTTATAGGGCTCGGGGGAACACATGACTGGCTGGCGAGGGCGGCTACATAATAGCTTGAACCTCGTACGCTCTTACACACTGAAATCTATGAAGCCCAAACTTATAAACATTACAGCTGATAGAAATCATAGAAACCCTAAACCCTAAGCCCTAAGCCCCCAAACCTGAACC